TTTGCTCCCTCTACTGCCGACCCGTCGCTGTTTCTGCGCACCGACACTTCTTTGCAGCCGTTCTACATCCTCGTGTACGTCGACGACTTGGTCTTTGCCACAGCTGACACTGCTGGACTCGCCCACGTGAAGTCCGAGCCGCAGAAGAGACACACGTGCACAGACCTGGGTGAACTGCGCAGCTACCTTGGCTTGCAGATCACCCGGGACAGAGCACGCCGCACCATTACCCTGACTCAGTCACACATGGTGCAGCAGGTCCTTCAGCGCTTCGGCTTCACGTACTCCCCGCCTCAGGCCACTCCTCTGCCTACTCGCCACTCGCTCTCAGCTCTGCCTTCGGATGAGTCCGTAGAGTCGAGTGGCCCATACCCAGAGCTTGTTGGCTGCCTCATGTACCTGATGACCTGCACACGACCTGACCTTGCATACTCTCTTAGCATTCTTGCACGCTATGTTGCTCCTGGGAGACACAGACCGGAGCACATGGCTGCAGCGAAGAGGGTGTTGCGCTACTTGTGCAGTACGTCGGGCATGGGGCTTGTGCTTGGAGGGCAGAGTCCAGTGGTCCTCACTGGACACGCAGACGCTTCTTGGGCTGACGACCAGGCTACGCAGCGGTCGTCACAGGGTTACACTTTCAGCCTTGGTTCCGGCTCTGTTTCGTGGCGGGCTACTCGCTCGTCTTCTGTTCTCGGCTCCAGTTGTGAGGCTGAGATCTACGCCGGGGCCATGGCTGCACAGGAGCTTCGCTGGCTCACCTACCTGCTGACTGACCTCGGAGAGCCGCCTCGTTCTCCTCCAGTGCTCTACGTAGACAACAAGGCCATGCTGGCCTTGTGTCGAGAGCAGAGACTGGAGCACAGAACGAAGCACATTGCTCTTCGCTACTTCCTTGCTCGTGAGCTACAGCAGCGTGGTCAGCTGCGACTTGCGTACGTGGCCTCTGAGGCCAACACTGCTGATATCTTCACCAAGGCACTTGCGCCTTGTGATCATCAGCGCTTCTGTACTCAGCTGGGTCTTGTACCTACCTTGCCTCACTTGCTCACCTCTTGACCTTGTTTGTACTGTTGCATATATATATACTCCTGCTCTTGCTTGTCTAGCCTTATATATATATGTAATCCTGCATGTGAACTGGCCTTGTGGCCTTGAACTTGTGCTCGGAATGTGTGGTGACTTTGTGATCCACCCTGAGCTTGCTTTGCTTTGCTTGACTGGTCTTGTGACCCCTTGTTCTCCCCCACTTTGCCTATGGGGGTGTGTCAGAGTTATATGACATAGCTACTGTAGGCTATAGTGGGGTAGCACATATGGGGTACAGTTGCCTAGGGTTTGCCTTTTGTACCCAACTTTCACTTAGTCATTTCATTCCTGTTTTCTTAATTCACAGCAAGTGTCGTCCTCAGTGTGTCGTGCCATTCACGCGGCGCCTGGCGGAGACCGTAGACTGGCCGCCGGAGGCTCCACTGGGTACCAGGAGGGAACGACCCAGTGAAGCTAGGTGGGCGGCGCAGCCAGATCTCCTCGTGCAGGCTGCCCTGTAAGAAGGCTGTGCTGAAGTCAAGAGAGTGAAGCTCGTAGTCACGCTGAGCGGCAACGTGCAGCAGCACCCGAAGAGTGGTCATCTTCGGGGTGGGGGAGAAGGTCTGGAAGAAGTCGACTCCCTGTCGCTGACTGAAGCCTCGAGCAACGTAACGAGCCTTGAAGACAGGCGGAGAACCTGGCGGCCGCTGCACCATGAAAATCCACATGCCATCGACGGTGTTCGCCCCAGGAGGGGGAACCTCGTCGACGTAAGTGCATGTGGACTTCCAGGATGCCATCTCTGCGTCCATGGCTGTCTGCCACTGAGAGGAATAGGGACCCGCGATCGCCTTAGCGTAAGAACGCGGAGTCGGGATGTCTGGTGCATCCGGGTCTCCCTCAGGGGCAAGCAGCATGGACACGAGATGAGGCGCAGCGGCTGCAAGACACTCAAGGTCCTCCTGCCTGTCCTCAAGGTCCTCCTGCCGCGTACCCTCTTGGCCTTCTGGCTCGCTACGTGGCTCCTGGTCGGCACCGAAAGGTGCACATGGATGCTGCTAAGAGGGTACTGCTCTACTTGTGCAGTACGTCAGGCATGGGGCTCGTGCTTGGAGGGAGGAGCTCAGTTGTTCTCACTGGGCACTCAGACGCTTCTTGGGTTGACGACCAGGCTACTCAGCGGTCGTCACATGGTTACACCTTCAGCCTTGGCTCTGGTTCATTTTCTTGGCATTCTACTCGCTCGTCTTCAGTTCTCAGCTCCAGTTGTGAGGCTGAGATCTACGCCACAGCCATGGCTGCACAGGAGCTACGCTGGCTGACCTACTTGCTGACCGACTTGGGAGAGCGGCCTCGTTCTCCTCCAGTGTTGTACGTCGACAACAAGGCTGCCATTGCCTTGTGTGAGGAGCACAGACTGGAGCACAGAACGAAGCACATCGCTCTGCGTTACTTCCTGGCTCGAGAGCTGCAGCAGCGTGGTCAGCTTCGTCTGCGTTACGTGGCCACTCAGGCCAACACCGCTGATATATTCACCAAGGCACTTCAGTCTGGTGATCATCAGCGCTTCTGCACTATGCTGGGGCTTGTGCCCACTTTTCCTCACTTGCTGTAGGCTTTGCCTGTACTGTGATCTCTATAAATCTATACCTGCTTGTTTGCTTTACTAGGTCGAGATCACTGTGTTGTTTGTACTGCATATATGCCTCTGCATGTGAACTGGCCTTGTGGCCCTTTGCTTGTGCTCAGAGTGTGTGGTGACGTTGTGATCCACCCTGAGCTTGCTTTGTCTTTCTTGACTGGTCCTGTGACCCCTTGCTCTCCCCCACTTAGCCTATGGGGGTGTGTCAAACATTATATATGTTACTGCTGTGTAGGCTATAGTGGGTTAGCCTTTAGGGGGTACATTTCTCTAGGGTTTCATACTTGTACTCCCAAATGTTTCTAGTTCATCACTTCTTGTTTCTGACAGCACAGTACTCTCGCAAGCCAGTAGCAGAGAACCAGCTGGACTTGGAGCTCTCCCTGCAGTACTTCATCTCGACACCTGACATCGGGCTCTCCTACTCCACGCTGACAACAACCTCCTTCAACCTCAACGGCTACGTGGACGCAGATCATGCCGCTGATCCTGCGAATCGACAGTCACGAACTGGCTTTGTCTTCCCCCTGGAACCAACAGGACCAATCTCCTGGAACTCGCAAAAGCAGGAACTAGTTGCCCTGTCATCGGCCGAAGTAGAATACATCGCCGCAACAGCAGCAGTTTGCGAAGGGCTGTACCTGCAGGAGTTGTTGCAGGAAGCGAAAATTCCAAGTTCGCCTACCTTTCGCCTTTACTGCGACAACCAGAGTGCCATCAAGATCGCGAACAAGCCAGGGTTCATGAACCGCACGAAGCACATTGCGCTTCGATACTTTTTTGTCAAAGACGAAATTGACCAAGGCAAGGTTGACCTCGCGTACTGTCCCACCACCGAGATGGCAGCCGACTACCTCACCAAGCGACTGCCACGTCAGCAGTACAAATACTGCTCCGACCTCACTGGAGTAGTCAAGCGAGTCAGCTCCGTACGTGCCCAGGAATGAAGGGGAGTGTTACGATATGCAACTTTATGAGAAGGCATTCCTGTATGCTGCAGGAGCCGACTCTACCGAGTACGAAGTTGAGGAGTCAGAAGAGTCGAAGCGACACTAGTAACCGTGTGATCAAGACCGATGCAGGCAGAAACATTCGAAGTGAAAAGAGCGGGAACAGGTTTGAAACGGGTTCCCGCGCCGCACGGTTCGAACTTCGCTGCAATAAGGGAATGTACCCCTTAGAGTACATGGCTAGTCTAGGTCGTTTCGTATTCCTTTGTATTTCTTATATAAACCCGATGTATGCATGCTATTATCAATCTCAGTCATTTACATTCACTCTGACATGAGGTCACTACTTCCACTGCAACACTACCCTGCGATCAACCCTGAGCGATCCTTCGCTAAGTCCCACTTGGGATTGTAACAGGAGGTCACGGTCGATCTCGACCGTCAAGGGCAATGATCTGGCGGTGCCGAAGCAGGGTCGTCGCTAGCAGACATTTTTTTTTTTTTCTGTTTGGGTGATATTAAGACATGCTTTTTTGGATTGATCTGATGGGCCAGTCAGCATCAGAAAAAACTTTTTTTTTGCCCGGGGGACCCGTCTGATGCATCAGACGTCCCTTGGACCCTAGCGACGACCCAGTGCCGAAGGAGAGCCTGTGAAAATCATGGCCGTGAGGAGCAACTACCCGTTCTCCTGGCCGGCTATCGCGCAACTCCTGGACCCCATGGCATCCTTCCTTCCCCCCCCCCCGAGGGGTATTACACTCTAAAAAGCGGGGTGGGCTAGGAAATAGCTTTGATACCAAGTGTTATGAGTTGTACTAAACAGAGTGCGCAGAAGACTTCATAAGAGGATGAATTACAGAATGCCGAGATAATGAATAAAGCAGGCATTTATAGGGCGAATACGTGCTAGGCGCGGACCTCGGGACGCGCATGGGTTGGATGTGTCGCGAAGCGACTCGGCAGTGGTTCGGGCCGAAGTGGAGGTCGAACATGAAACTGATGCGAAGTGCTCGGGGCTGTACGTCCTAGGAGCAGACTCATTAATGAATATCTACATTCATTCACATTTTCATATACACTTCATGAAGGCTCAATTTGTGGTGAATATCCAGGGCAGTTCTAAGTGACAAGATCATCTACAAACTATGTAGCAGAAGCTGGAGCCTATATCAAAGGTCTATGTGAACGTCCCCCAATGTACGCGTTAAGAGACCTTCCCCACACCAATTTGCTTCCTCAAAATCCTCTCCGAGTGCTCGCCCCTCCCCCGTTCCCCAACCCCATAGCAGATCTGAGGCACACCGTCAAACCCTGTCTTTGACAGTTCCTTGCGTTTTCTACTCTTGGTTCACGCTTGGACGCACCAATTTGCCGCCATGGCAGATCAAGAGGAGAAGCCGTCGGCTGCGCTGGCTGCGGCTGAGCGAATCCGCCAGGCAACGTTGAAAGCCGCCAGCAAGGGAATGTCTCGCGCGCAGGCAGAGAGGGCTGCGGCTGCTGCTGCTCGCAACGTGAACGCGTACGGGCAGAAGGAGGAAGGGCCGAGCCGCTGGCAGGAGCGCAAGGAGGCGAAGCAACGCATGTACATGGAAAGTACGGAGCAGGCGGCGAAGCTGGGCACGCGCGTGGACATGCGATCGGGCGCGGCCGGTGCGAATCAGCAGTGCCAGAAGTGCTTTAAGCTGGGCCACTGGACGTACGAGTGCAAGAACGAGCGCGTGTACATCGCGCGCCCCTCGCGCACGCAGCTGCTGCGCAACGCCAAGCTTCGCGACAAGTCAGCGCTGGCGGCGGGAGGGTTTGGCGGCGATGACGACGTCGGGTTCGGGGCCGAGCGGAGCTTCTTGATGGACCGGCGGTTCGAGGAACAAGCTGCGATCGACCGCGCGAAGCAGAAGGAGATAGAGACGCAGCAGAAGGAGGAGGAGAGGAAGAGGAGGGCTCAAGAGAAGAAGCGGAAAGAGGAGGAACGGAAAATTAAGCGGGAGGAGCAGAAGAGGAAGGAGAAAGAGAGGCGGAAGAGGAAAGAGAAAGAGAGGGCGCGAAGGAAAGAGAAGGAGAAGATGCGGAGGAAGAAGCGTGGGAAGAAAAAGTATAGCGAGAGCGAGAGCGACAGTGATGAGAGCGATACGGACGAGAGTGACGACAGTGACACGGAGAGTGATAGCGAAAGTGCGAGCGGGAGCGAGAGCGAGAGCGAGACGGCGTCAAGTGGATCGGAGAGCGATTCGGAGAGCGAGTCGGAGAGTGAGAGTGATCGGCGGAGTAGGAAACGGCGTTCTCGCGGCGGTAAGAGGTCGCGCAAGAGAGGGTCGGGAAGAAATGGCGGGTCCCGCAAGAAACGACGCAGAGGCGGTGACGACGAGAGCGAGAGCGATAGTGAGAGTGAGAGTGAGAGTGAGAGTGGGAGTGAGACTGAAAGTGACAGCGAGAGCGACGGAAGCGATAGTGAGGACGAGAAGTCAGGGCGGAAAAAGGGACGTAAAAGGGGAAAGGGTGGGAAGAAAGGAGGGACGGGAGGCCCTGACACGGCAGACGAGGAAGCGGCGACGAAGGTGAAGGGCCGGGGAAAGAAAGAGGCAGGTGTGGCGGACGAGGAGAGGCGTAGGGAGAAGCTGGCGGCCGAGGCGCGCGAGAGTGGCGGGGTGGAGGGCGGCGGGCGCGCGGGGCGAGAGAAGGGCGAGGCGAGGGCGCTGAGAGCAGGGGAAAAAGGGGAGAACGGGAGAAGCAGAGAGGGGAGCGAGGAGGAGCGGGACGAGAGGCGGCGGGACGAGGGCGTGGCGGTGAGAAGCGAGGAGCGCAAGGCAAGGGGCCAGGCTGACCGTGGCGCGGACGCGCGGGGCGATGAGGAGCACGGTGGTGGGGGCTGGGAGAAGGAGAAGCAGGAGGGTGGTGCGAGGGGCGATGCAGAGAGGGGCGGCAGGCCCCGAGGGTGGAGTGAGAATGGCGACGGGGATGGTGGCGAGCGCGAGGAGGGGGGCGTGGCGAGGGGGGGAGTGCACGGTGGTGCACATGATAGTGCAGGGGGGCGAGGTGGCAAGGGGCGCGATGAGAGGCCGGGAGCGGATGGCGCACGGAGGACGAAGGATAAGGCTCGCAGGGTGATGGATAGCGGCAGTGGAAGCGAGATCGAGAGTGATGAGGAGAGCGGGAGCGAGAGTGAGAGTGAGAGTGAGAGCGAGAGTGAGGAGAGTGAGGGGAGGCGTAGGAAAGGAGCAGGGAGGAGGGAGGAGAGGGGAAGAGGCAAGGGCAAGTGAAGACCATCTTGTTGGACGAGCCTTTGCTGCCCACTCTGGTCAGCTATTGTCAGTGCTATGCTCCTCCGTGCCATGATCTTGATTGTGCTATCCCTGCTTCATTTTCTTGGCATGAGCCTGAGAGCAAGCTGCATGCTTCTGAGCATCTGCTGGCTCATGTGCCTTGGCTCCTCTGCTCCTTTTTCTCTGCTCCTCGGCTGCCTCTGCGTGTGCCACAGCAGCATCCCCTGCTCGTCATGCCTGCTGTATGCCTGCTCTTATCCGCCAGCATGAAATACCTCTCTCATCCGCCTGCTGCTGCTTCTCGTAGCCACCTTGTTTGCCCTGCCAGCTGCACAGCTGCTCCTGACTTTAGTCAAGTGCCATCAAACATTGGTCACATTGCCATTGTGGTTGGCCTCAGGCAGGCCTATTCATGTGCTAGGAATATTTCTGTTCTTCCTGTATTGTTTGTCTCACTTCCTCTCCATTTATCTGCCAACTACATAAGCCTCTTACGGTATTCCAGTGATTCCATCCGCCTTTTGTTCAGAAATGACAGTATGTTTTTGTGTAAAATAGCTGTTCCAGTGGGTGTTTGCCCTAAGCCCCAAACACTTGTTCCGGCACTCTCCACCCTCTTATGTTGCCCTCCCTGGCATTCCGTGGGTGGGTACACTCTAAAAGCTGCTTTGCGGGAGGCATCAAACTAGTCACTGCAGCAACACAGCTCATTAACAGAAGCTGGCTCATTTCCAAATATTTATGGCTCCACAAAAGTGAAAGATGTACCGTAATTGACACAGCACTGCAACCCGGAGCCCCTGATTCCTGGTACCGTACTAGGCTTCTGCAGCAAGTTAAAAATTCAGCACAATAAAAAATCTAAAGAGAATAGGAAGAACGTTTTAAAACTCTGCAAGTACGGAAGACGATAATCACCACCCATTGGGCGGATGTGAGGAAATCATTCTAAAAAAAGTCAGTTCATCCTTCGCAGTCAAGCCAGCGGACATGGCGAGCATGGCGGCTAGCGGCCTCCGGCAAGCTTGGATTGCAGCCAGCTCCTGACACCACTGACGTTGGAGCCGAGGCTCATGAAGGAGTTGCCTGCCTTGTACGACCCCTGTGACATCTGCGAGTCACCCGCGCTCACTCCCGAGGACAAGCCTGAAGACAGGCCGGATGACATGTTAGACGACATGCCCGATGCTGCCCCCGACCCCGACAACTCAGTCAGGCGCGCCTTGTCGTCGCCTTCCACGCACTCCCACTCGTCCTCCCTGTTGGGGCAGTGCTTGTCAATGAGCGTCTTGAGGCGGTACGCTATGTCCTTCATGTCGGGGCGCCGTGTGCCCGGTGACTTGATGCAGTCCAGTGCCAGGTCGGCGAAGTCCACAATGGCCTCCTCACTGCACTCCAGGCTGTCGTCCTTGAGCTGCTCCAACTCGTACGCCTCCACCAGCTTCGCCGCCTGCCACCCACCACGCACACACGCCACCCCGCCACACCACCACCACATCAACCAGCCAATCCACCAACCATTTCAATTGTGCAGATGATCTGTTTGCTCCCCTCAATCCCTTCCCCAGCGCACGTACCCATTTGCGGATGTGAGTCTTGTTGTTGACCTGCGGTGACTTGCCAGTGAGCAGCTCCAGCAGCACGATGCCGTAGCTGCATGCACACACACACAGCCATGCGCCCGTGCAAGGGGGTCAGAGCCGTCAATGGACGCACAGGGACACGGTGAGGGGCGGGCACGATGCGCAGCAAAGATAGTTGCAGCAAAGGGAGCGGCAACGGATGGGCAAGGGGAGCGAAGGCAGGGAGGGTGAAGAGGTGGGTTGAGGGGCGACCTGAAGACGTCGCTCTTGGCGGTGACCATCTGCGTGCGGTTGTAGTCGGGGTCCACGTAGCCGGGCGTGCCCGCCACTCGCGTGGCGTCCGCATCGGCGCCGTGAGTGAGGCGCTTGAGCAGCCCAAAGTCAGCCACCTTGGCCTGCATGTCGTGGGTAACCAGGATGTTGGCGGGCTTGATGTCACGGTGCACGATGGACGTCTCAAACCCGTGCAGGTATGCCAGCCCCTCCGCCGTGCCCTGCGCCAGCCGCAACCGCTGCCGCAGCGACAACGCGCCTGTCGGGCAGGAGGGCAGCAAGAGAGGGTGGTTGAGAGAGTGGTTGTGTGAGTGAAGCCATGCGCGCACGGGTGAGCGGCATGGTGCGGTGCGGTGGCGGGTGCGGGTGCTCACGCTTGGTCTTGTGGATGTGGTACTGCAGGTCCCTGTTGCCCACGAACTCGTACACGAGGATCTGCTCCTGCTTGCCCGTCTCCGTGTTCTGGTCCAGACAGAACCCCAGCAGCCGCACCAGGTTCACGTGGTGCAGGTTCGCCATCGCCCGCACCTGCGAACACCCACACGACACACGCACCCCACCCTCACATGAACACGGCACCAGGGAACTGATTCTCAGTCTCCACGAGAGGCCACGTGATGTGCGGCCGCAGTTGCTCATGTGAGGAGGACTCACGTAGCGCATCAAAGGCATGGGCAGCAGCAAGTGCGGTGGACAGGGAGGATAGAACGCAGATGAGGGAGCAGCAGAGGGAGAGGGGGTGGGGAAGCAGGGAGGGAAGGAGGCACCTCAGTCTCGAACTCGTTGGTCATGACGGTGGAGCGCTTGATGGCCCACAGCAGGCCCTGTGGTGACACGCCCTTGTACACAATGCCAAAGCCACCCTCGCCCAGCACGTTCTCCGCCGCCCAGTTGTTGGTGGCCTTCATTATCTGCTGCAGCGAGAACTGCTCACACACGTCCAACCCCTCCCACTTCTCTGCTCACTCACACACGCCCACCCCACACCGTGACAGGCACATGGCAGAGCATGGGAGTAAGGCAGGAGGCAGAGCAGGGGAGTAAGGCAGGAGGCAGAGCAGGGGAGTAAGGCAGGAGGCAGAGCAGGGGGAGTAAGGCAGGAGGCAGAGCAGGGGAGTAAGGCAGGAGGCAGAGCACGGGAGCAGGGCAGGAGGCAGAGCAGGGGCGCAGGTGCGTGGTCTCACTTGGTCCACGCGGCCAGAGCAGCCATGCGAGCACAGCGGTGAGCAGCGTGATGCCCGCAAAGCACCCCACTGCAATGCCCACTATGGCGCCCGTGGACAGCGACGACACTGCACAGGGGGGCACACGCACGCAGGGGGGCAAGTAGACATGGGCAAAGAGTCGAGTTTCCAAGCTCGACTCGATCGGGGGACTCGTTACTGGTCGAGTGTCGAGTGCGAGGACCCGTTGAAAAAACTCGACCGGACCGAGTCGAGTTTTACCCGCCGAGTTTTAAAAAAACTCGGTCCAAGCTCGGGCCCCATGTCGAGTTTTTTCCAGACTCGTCGAGTTTTCTGGACTCGGCGAGTTTACGAAAAACTCGTCGCGACATTGGGGTGGGGTGGGCATACAAATTTCGAAAGTTGAAGTTTTGCGGGTCCATTTTCAGATCTCGATTTCAGTCAGTCACCTTCCTCAACATGTCGTCCGTAGTTTCCAGAGCCAAACCAGTCAAACGCCCGGCTGTTTTTTCTTCTTAAACTTAAGATCGGTTCAGGGGCAACGTAGATCTAGGTTTACGCTTAGTTAGGGTCGCGGTTTTATTGTATGGTTGGTTTCGATTAGGGTTTGAGGAGGAGGAAACGCTACTATTTAATAATGTAACGGTCGATCTACTGATTTAGCATGGCGAAATTCAAGCAGCTGACAAGTAAGAACACCAACGGCGGGAAAGCGGGGGCGGGAGGAACCCACCGTGGCGATCATGCGGGAGGAGGGGGGGGGAAGACCAGGTGGAGACGGCTACGCAGCGTCGCAGGCGTACAATAATATAGGGTATACAACAAAAAACCATGCACGAAAATAAGCCTCAGGTCTCACTTTTCTTTTCTATGGTGTGTCCCCCCCCCCTCCCCCCCGCCGAGCCGAGTTTAACTAGGACTCGACCGAGCGTATGAATAGCGCCGGTCGAGTTTTAAAAACTCGCCCTTATACAGTCGAGTCTCGAGTCCTGAACCTTGGCAAAAAAACTCGACCGGGTTTCACCCGACTCGAGCTCGAACTCGGTCGAGTTTTGGCCCAGACCGAGTCGAGTTTTACTCGACTCGGTCCGTTGCCCATGTCTAGGGGCAATGCACGCGAGGGGGCAAGGCACGCGGGGGGGCAAGGCACGCGGGGGGGCAAGGCACGCGGGGGGGCAAGGCACGCGGGGGGGCAAGGCACGCGGGGGGGCAAGGCACGCGGGGGGGCAAGGCACGCGGGGGGGCAAGGCACGCGGGGGGGCAAGGCACGCGGGGGGGCACGGGCACGCGGGGGGGCAAGGCACGCGGGGAGGCACGGGCACGCAGGGGGGCAAGGGCATGCAGAAAACGAGAAGGAAGATGAGGATTATGTCAAGGGGTGCTTGCACGAGAGAGAGGCAGTGGCTGTGCGTGCAAGTGCGAGGTGAGCAATGTGTGGCAAGGGAGGGGGTGGCGGGGGGCGAGGGCTGACCAACGGTGGTGGTGGAGTTGACGATGCCGCATGTGGAGCCGTTGACCGAGGTGAGTGTGCTGTACCCCGCATCACACACACACGAGAAGTTGCCACTGGCACCGGGGGCGGGTGGCACGCACTCGCCATGGCCGTCACACGGGCCGTTCTCCGTGATGCTGCAGAACGCCTGGCACTCGGCAGTGCTGCGCTGGGTGGCGTTGGAGGAGCAGGGCATCTCGGCATTGAGCGTGAGGCAGTTGTAGGAGAGGCTCACGCGTGCGCTCTTGCCAGCGCCCGCCACGGAGTAGTCGCGCATGGCCGACACGCTCCCCACGCACTTGCCCGCCGCATTCGAGGTGCTGGTGTCGCCGAGCTCAAGGCGGTTGGGCTGGTTGATCTCGATGGGGCAGACCTGGCAGCCGTCCGCAAAGAGCACGGCGTCGCCGTTGAAGTAGTTGCGCGCCAGGTTCACGAGTGCGTCCCCGTCCGCCACCATGTTGCGGAAGTTGCGGTTCACACGCCCGTACAGGCTGTTGCCACTCACGTCACTGCACACCCGCCCACACACACTCGTCAGTGCCACTCCGTTGCTCCACGCAGTGAGTACAGATGTGGCTATTGTGAGAGGGCAAGAGGGAGCGTTGAGGTGCAGGCAGAGCAGCAGGAGGGCGGGGCTCACATCTGGTTGATGCACTTGTCGAAGAGGCACACCGGCAAGGGCCCGTGTAGGTGGTTGTTGCTCACCATGCTGCCACCCACCCACACGTGCACACCATGCCATGGCGCGTCAGCAAGCATAAGACATGGCACAAGAGGTACACGGGTTGCGAGGAAGACACAAACCAATGGTGCATTGTCGAAGGAGGTGAACATGTGAGGGTATGGCGCCGCACGCACAGACAGACACCACACACTCACATGCGCCACACACACTCACATGCGCCACACACACTCACATGCGCCACACACACTCACATGCGCCACACACACTCACATGCGCCACACACACTCACATGCGCCACACACACTCACATGCGCCACACACACTCACATGCGCCACACACACTCACATGCGCCACACACACTCACATGCGCCACACACACTCACATGCGCCAGAGAACGGGCAGCGAGCAGATGGAGGGGGGCAGAATCCCTTGGATGCTGTTGTTGTCCAGCCACCTGTCCCATCACACCATGCGCACACACGGTGGACGCGATGTGTGAACGTGCATGGCATGTCATGGCAGGGCAGGGCAGGGCAGGGCAGGGCAGGGCAGGGCAGGGCAGGGCAGGGGGGAGCATGTGAGGGGGAAGCATGTGAGGGGGAAGCATGTGAGGGGGAAGCATGTGAGGGGGAAGCATGTGAGGGGGAAGCATGTGAGGGGGAAGCATGTGAGGGGGAAGCATGTGAGGGGGAAGCATGTGAGGGGGAAGCATGTGAGGGGGAAGCATGTGAGGGGGAAGCATGTGAGGGGGAAGCATGTGAGGGGGAAGCATGTGAGGGGGAAGCATGTGAGGGGGGAGCATTCAAGAGAAGAGCAGGGGGGGCGAGCAGGGGGTCTGACAGCTGCTCGAGGTTCTGCAGGCGGCTGATGGCGGAGGGCAAGGTGCCGCTGAGCTGGTTGTTCGCCAGGTACCTGCACACGCCGCGCCGGCCATGGGGAGACGAGAGGTGAAGGGGGGGACAGGCAGCACAGGTTGGTACGAGGGCGTGAGCATGATAGGGGGAGCACCGGAGCTTTGGCATGGCAGTGTGGCTAGGGCGGGCACCTTGTGACAATGCACACGTGTGTAGCGCGGCAGTGAGGGGACGTCAGCGCGCTCACAGGAACTTGAGGTTGGTGAGGGTGAGCAGGGCGTCTGGGATGGACCCCGACAGCTGGTTGTCGTTCAGCATGCTGCGTGGCGGGGTGGGCATGAGGGGCACGCAGCATGTCACACGGCAGCACAAGTGGCAAGGCGCTGAGCGCAGCACTGCGTAGGCGTCAGCCTGCTGCGCTGTACACGGGCGCAGCAATGGCAGGAGAGCAGAGGGACGGCACACATGCATGGGGCGTGGAGCAGTGTGTGGTTACATGGTGTCAAGCGAGGTGAGCGTGGAGATGGAGTCGGGGATGGGCCCCGTGAGGTTGTTGTTGTTCGCCGCCCTGCATGCACCACACAGCATGGCACACCACACACCACATGGGGCACAGGTCAGATGGCTCATGCCACACACACAGAGTGCAGCAGCTGCATGCAGAGAAGGAGCAGCGAGGAGCGTACAGGCGAACAAGGTTGACACGCCAGCGGGAGAAGTCGGGCAGGTTGCCTGTGATGCCGTTGCCCGCCACATCGCTGCATCGTCACAAGGGCACGCGGCACACGAGACAGCAAGGGGCGGGTGAGGGCACCAAAGGAACGTGTGTTGTGCATACAAGGGAAGGAACACAGACCATGCAAGCAGGCCAGCACGCTATAGGAAAACGCTCACCGATAGGAAAACGCTCACCTATAGGAAAACGCTCACCTATAGGAAAACGCTCACCTATAGGAAACGGTCACTGATAGGGGCACGCACAGCATGGTAAGGGAGGAGGATGCCTTGAGGGAGGGTGGGAGGCCGCCCAAGAGGAAGTTGTTGGCCACTTGCCTGCCACGGGGAGAAGGGGTGGGGGCACGTGGGGCAGGTGGGCGAGATTAGCAGAGAACACCTTCGCTACTGGAAGTGGCAGGGGCATGCGTGCACGATGGAAGGACGCCTGCCAGCCATGCAGTGCGGTGCTGGGGCCAGAGCAGTGGTGGGGGCACTCACAGTGAAAGGAGCGAGGGCAGCTGGTAGAGGGCTGATGGGATGGCCCCATGGAACTGGTTGTCACTCAAATTTCTGCACACGAGGCGGATGGGCATGAGCAGGTGAGGGGTACGTGTTTCACTCCGTTCATCATCTGCCACACTCGATGTAAGCTACCCTGCATGGCCCCCTACCTACTCTCCCCATTTGGGCTGCCCCCGTGTCCCCATCGCCTTGCTTGGCCCCATAGAAGTCCCAGCACTGTGGTGTGCAAGAGGGTGCATGTGCGGTGGCAGGAGCACAGCAGCGTGCGCCTCACAGATAGCGCACAGCGGCACTCACATGTCAGACAGGTCCGTGAGCGCGCTCAACTGCTGGGAGATGCGCCCTGAGAAGCTGTTGTTCGCCAGGTTCCTGCCATCGCCATGCCCACACATGGCACGGGAAATGCACTCGGGGACACAAGTCACATGGTGGATGAGAGAGGGAGCTCGACAGCAGTGGTAGCAGCAAGAGCATGTGGAGCGAGCAGGAACTATTGGGGCAAGAACAAATGAGTGTCTCACAGTACTATAAGCCCCGTGTGGGTGAGAAGCAGGTCGGGAAAGGGCCCGGTGAAGCGGTTGTTGGAAAGGTCTCTGCGGCGCACAGAGAGAGGGTACAGCTGATGAGCATGCTCTGCCCACGCTCCCACATCCTTCCATGCAGCCCCGCCCATGCCATGCTCACATGCTGCACGTGCAGTGCAGGCAGGGTGCAGCAGGCATGGGCGCCAATCTCTCTACAAGGACCCAAGATGTCACGAGGCTTTGCACCTCGGAGGAAGAAGGGCAGATGGCATAGCAGCAGGGAATACTACAGCATGGTGTGGCAACTCACATGCTCCCGAGGCTTGTGAAAGCTGTGAAGAACTCTGGGATGGCGCCAGAGAAGTTGTTGGTGCTGAGCATGCTGCGGAGGGAAGAGAGCAGGGCAGAGAACAGCGGGACAGAGAGGGTAAGGCAAACGCAGGTGGTACGGAGAGAGGCGAGGAGGTAGTGGTAGGAGGAGCGAGAAGGGGGTTGAATGGACTGACATGTCAGTGAGCCAGGGCATGCGCGCGATGACGTCCAGCCCCGCCGACAGACTGTTGTTTGTCACATCCCTGTGGCCGTGGCGGGGTGCACGCACACACACACGTCAACAGCTGAGACGACAGCACAGGCGAGGTCCGCCAGTGGCGCCCTGCCCAGTGCACTCGCATGACCTGCATCGCAACTTGTTGCATGCACATATCGTGCAGGGAAGCACGAGGATGAAATGGAGTGATTGCCACTCGGCATGGAGGCCACTACAGAAGAAAGAGATGGGGTGGGCAAAGGCATGAGGCGAAACGGAGGTGGGGATGGAGACGCACAAGACGTAGATGGCGGTGAGGCGAGTGAAGGTGGCGGGGAAGCCCCCTGTGAAGCGGTTGTACTTCAGCTCCCTGCACGCACCGCACCGCACAGCACAGCACAGCACAGCACAGCACCGCACAGCACAGCACAGCACAGCACCGCACAGCACAGCACAGCACAGCACAGCACAGCACAGCACAGCACAGCACAGCACAGCACAGCACAGCACAGCACAGCACAGCACAGCACAGCAGGGCGCAAGCAGTGCACGCACAGAGCCTATGGGCGCCCAACACGCGCGCTGCACGCACGGTGCCGCAGGACAAGGCAGCAGAGTGACAGTGGCGGTCGAGGGCTGGCATGTGCGTGGTGCCATGCGTGCGGGAAGAGGGGTCGCTCACAGCTCTGTGAGGGTGGGCAGGGCGAGATGTGGCGGGATGCTGCTCTCAAATCCATTGTAGCTTAGAATTCTGGCAGGGAACGGCGAGAAGGGCAGGGGAGGGAGGAGAAGGCGAGGGAAGGAGGGACAAAATTTTTGTCTGCGCCCATGCTTTGCTCGCGTACGTGCGCCTTGCATTCACCTCACCGCTTGGTCACCACTGTTACTAGTGTGTGGGCCACTGCAATCTCCTCTCATGCTAATAAGCACACAAATACGAGGGCCAGCAGGCGGGTAGGTACGTAAGGCATGTAGGCAGGCAGCAATGAGCGAAACAGTGTAGTCAATGTGAACCAGTGGGAAAGTGTATGGTTGGGCAGAGAGCACTAGAGAGTGTGAAGCATGCGGTACTGGGAGGGATTGATTGAATGAGTGGCGGTGCGCAGTGCAGTGGTGCATGGCGGCACAGGTGGAGGCAGAGAGAAGCAGGGATAAGACACCCACAAGGACTCCAGGTTGGTGGTGAAGATTGGCGGTATGGCCCCTGACAGCTGATTCCACGACAGGTCGCTGCCAGCACCACGAGCAGCAGGGCAAGGGAGAGACACACAGGCAAGCAAGGGAGCGCATGAGAGTGAGGGGTGCAAACGTGTTGGCAGGAGAGAATGCATATGTGGACTTGCATGTTGCTCATTCCCTGGCTTTCACTCGGTGACACGCCCATCCTCTAGCATCCGTGCAGCAGCGCTGGCAGTGCACTGTGCGTGCCACGTGGCGCACATGTGGGAGAGTGGGCAGGGCGGTCGCTGTGCCATGCAGCCCATGGTGCGGGCGTGCAGCAGCGCACGCCTCCATGGACCCCCCTGCCACCCACGCCAACCCTTCGCCCCTCTCCCCACTATGCCACCTAACCCCAACCTCCCCGCACCTTCCTCCACCCGTGCTGCCCGTCTTTTGGGCACCTGGGTTGTGGCCCGTGCGTGCTGATGGCGCGCATGGCCGTGGGCACTGGAGCAGGCGTGCAGCAAGGCGTGGCCGCACAGTGGACAAGAGGCCCGTCACGTACAGTGCCGTGAGCGCTGTCAATGTGGAGTACGCCCCCGGTATGGCGCCTTGGATCATGTTGTAATTCAACGAGCTGCAATGAGGAGAAGCCAGATATGCATACGCTTGGTGGAAACGCAGGCAAGGATGGCAGCACTTGAAGTGGCAATCAGGTTGCTACAGTGAAGGTGACAAGCGGAAAAGCAGTCAGTGCGGGCCAGCAAACAGCAGTGCGGCCGGCAGATAATGGCATGTGGCATGGCATCAAATGGCAAGGCATGGCATGGCATGGCATGGTAAGAGATGGAATGGGATGCCATGGGTTGACATGGCATGGTAAGAGATGGAATGGGATGCCATGGGTTGACATGGCATGGTAAGAGATGGAATGGGATGCCATGGGTTGACATGGCATGGAATGGATGGGCTGGTATGGCATGGCGCCTGACAGTTGTTGCAGGTTGACCAGGTTGGACAACCCTCCCGGCAAATAGCCCGCCAGGTTGTTCCGGTTAATCAATCTGCAGTGCACACAGCACAGGGTGGGGCCCAAGCAAGACGAGGGGCATGGTGGCATTGGGATGGGCCACACTGTTTCACGGATTGCCACTCAACAACCAACGGCCTGTGAGACGTGTGCATGCATGCATGCACTGCCACGCCATGCGTCTAACTCCACCCTTCGGACACGCCTTTCCAGCGCTCGGGCCATACTGCATTGGAGGGCGCTACACATGTGGTTCAGCTTGGCAGGACATGCCCCGTGCATGCACCGTAATGCCCACATAGCCCTCAGATGCACCAGGAGCTCTCACAGCTGAATGGTCAAGACACTCACACATGGAGACTGTTCAAGAACAGCCATGGGAATCAGTTGAATGGGAGAATAATCAATTTGTGGCAGATTCGTATTCAACTCAGCAGTATTTGCATGCGACATGGAACGGCTATTCGGTAAATTACAAACTTGAACACTATTCACGAAGTACAATCGTATTCAGCTGCCATTCATTCTTACCGGCCTAGCCACGGGAGAGTGGGCAGCACAGCACGTACAGCTGAGTGAGGTTGGTGAGCAGCGAGATGCCATCTGGCAGCACCCCGTGGCGGGTTACCTCGTCCGTGTTCAGGTTCCTGCACGGAGAGGGGGCAGCGCTCATGCCAGTGAGTGCGCGAGTGAGGGGGGGCAGTGACGCGATGGCCGGGTGGTTGAGCAGGAGGTGCGGGGGCAGCAAGGGGGGGCGGGATCTCACAAGGTGCGGAGGTTGGAGAGCTGCACCACCCAGTCGGGGAAGTCTGAGGCGCGCAGGTATGACAGGTCGCTGCAGGGGGGTGCCATGGGGTGGTACACAGACAAGAGAGGGGCGCACGAACGCGGCTAAGCGGAGCAACCCTGCCATATGCATTGCATGCAGTGTGTGCGTGGTGCTGGTGTGGACGAACCTGACACGTGGTGCCTCGTGTGGTGCACTAACTTGTGTGGTGAGCTTACAGTGCAGTGAGCACAGTCAAGTATCGGAGGTCCCTGGGAATCTGCCCTGTGGCGTTGGTGAGACTGCACAGCCTCCTGCACACACACACAGCAGCGCACGTGTTACCATGCACGTCATCGAGCGCTGCATGACAGGCCACGCGGGTGCATGCGATGCAAGCAGAGGTGGGACGGTCAGGGAGTGTGATGCTAGGGGTGTGGTGCGGCGCTCACAGGTCGCGGAGGGAACGGAGGTTGGAGATTATGGCGAGGGAGGAGAGGTCTCCTTTGAACTCCACCATATCCGTCAGCCTCCTGGTCAGGGCGGGCGGAAAGGAGCGAGAGCGGATGCAGCGGACGGAGAGACGCAAGGGAGTGGTGGGCGAGGCACATGATGGGTGGTGCGGCAGCAGCACATGATGGTTGGTGCGGCAGCAGCACATGCCATGCCACGCCACAGAGTCAGCGCACCCACCCACAACCTCCCACACCAGCGCCAGCAGGCAGCAGATGCGCGCACGTGGGTGGGGGTAAGGGACGCTACAGGCCCACGCCATTGTGGTGCGTGCCCCGTGCCGTGCATGCTCTGCGCCACGCGGAGGCAAGCCGCGCCAAGCGCAACAGAACATCATGGGCAGCCCTGTTGTACAAGGCGTTACAGTCACAATGCTTGGGTGTGCGTGTGCAGGGCGTGGAGCGTTTGAAGGGCGTACAGCGTTTGCAGATTGGAGAGCGTGGAGAGCCACGTGAGGTCGCCGTAAGTGCCAGTCAGCTTGCACACGCTGTCTTCTCCCAGCGCGCTGCGCGCAGGGGATACGCGCAGTGCAGAGGACACAGGGCGGCAGGTGAAGGGCAGCGGGAGCCACGGGGGGTGGGCATGGCACGGAAAGAAAAGGTGTTGTTGCATACGAGAACGGAGGGGCAGTGGCGGACAGAACGGGTGCAGCGTGACGTTTGGACGAGGAATTGAGCGATGGGCGAGGGCACGCAAGGGCACGCACAGATAGGTGAGGCGGGTGAGCGCGGCGAGCGATGGCAAGGGTCCCTTCAGGTAAATGCCGTATGTCAGATCGCTGCACACACGGCAAGCAGCACACGGAAGCAGGGCGAGCGGTGATGGGCACGGGACGTCGGACACGTGCTGGATGTGCACGTGTGCACATGGTTGAGGACACGCAAATGGGAGGAGAGGAAAGGACGAGAGCGGGAGCAGGAGGTCATGATACAGGTGTTGGAGCTGCGGGTACGAGGAGGCGCACAGGTGTTGCAGGGCGGAGAGGCGGGTGATGGAGGGCGGTATCACGCCACCTGGTGGCGGCCCGGGGTCCACCGCTTCATTCAGAGTTCTGCTCACCAACACGCACAAGCCAGTTGGGTATCCGTGTGCTTGAGGAGCGTGTGCGGCGGTGTAAGGGACTATAAAGGTTGCACCAACGAAGGCGCGTGCACGCTGTACATGATGATAAGCACGGAACAGAAACCACGACGGCGGTCAGCTGCGAAATGGCCCTCACGGCATGCTTGGCAATCTCGGACGAACCGACACCGATCTCATGGGCTATGCACGCGACGACACCCACTGCTGAAAAGGTACAGCACGATCAACCCGAACCCATGAACCCGCCACTCCCCCGCGACCCTTTGTAACGGCTGCGGGTTTGCACGAAAAGTTAAAGGCTACCTCTGCGCTCTGAAACAACTTTCGTTCTGATCCAGTGCCCTAGGGCGGGGCGTTATACCCTCCCCACCCCCCTGCCCTCACAAGCACGGTGTCAGGAATGAGAAGCCACTTGGGAAGCTCACAGAGCAACGACGAATCCGCGCGGGGTGCAGTGGACGCCAGGCCACGCGGTGCACGCAGTGGTGGCGTTGGTGTTCTTGGGCCACATGCCCCATGCCTTGTTCAGCTCCACCAGCACACTCACTGCGCCGCTCACGCCGAACGGGGAGGGGGGGAGGGGGGGAGGGGGGGAGGGGGGAGGGGGAAAGGGGTCAACGAGGTCGCACGTGGCGGTCAGTCAGTTGATAGTACAAGAAAAGCCGTGAACGAGTCTATGCTGGTGCAAACTACTCACGCTGGCTCTCCTCAAGAAAGGGCGGCCCAGCCGCGTCGCCGGCTGCTGCGGTTCTCGCATTTAGCGTTATAAGTGAGCGGCTGCGGCCGGGTCGCACTAGCGGAGACACCACCCGCCGTTTCCGTAGGCTAGAGGCATCGCGATGCGGTGGTGGGTTCTGCTCGCCTGAGAAAAAGCAATCGGCAGCGGCACTGAAAGTGAGCAGCGAGAGGAGAAAAAGGCGCGAGACAATTGCCTGGAGCCTGCTGCTCGCACGGCGGCGAGTGTTGCGTAGCATTGCGAAAGAGTGGCTGTGCTGAAGTTGCTCTTGTGTGAAGGAAGCAACTTTGTTGCAAATGGGGGTGGCCACTTAGAGGCTAGAGGCATCGCGACCCCGGCAACATGTCCCGCCTAACATCCACCACCACACCACACCACACCACACCGCAGCCGTCTCTAACGACGTCACAGTCGCCCTGCCTAACCAAGGTGAATGGTTTGTTACCATAGTTGTGGTGGATCTCTCAGGTTGGTTGGGACGAAACACCAGCCACAAAGGGCGGAGAAAAAGTAAGCGATTCCCCACCATTCATGCATCATGTTCGAAAGCGGGGGTAGTGCTGTATATCGGACATAAATGCTATATTTCAATTTTTATTTTCATGTGATTCGACGGGGCTTGTCTAATGGTGCTTAGCGAGGGGCGAGAAGCTCGTGGCGAATGATTGTTAGTGGATCACGTACGTCTGCCTAAGTGTTGGACAATGCTGTTGCTCACAACCGCTCAACCGCATTAACTTATCACAACAGGAAACAATTCCATTAAAACCCAAGCTAAACACAAATATTTAGGTGATTAGTCAAGAATGTTAGCCGGCTTACTTATCGCGTCGGCTAATGTGGACGGCGTCAGTGGCGTGGCGTCAAGTGCTCCAACTGATTCACCTGTTTTTTGAGAGTGGTTGTTTGTGATTCACCCTGTCAGCACTCGATGTCCGTACACGTATTTTGTGGCAACGTTCGTCGAGTACTTCCCTTGGCATACTAGCATTGCTCACGAAAGTGGAAACAACGTTAGCAAAAATGATATTATTTTTTGAAACTCTACTCGAGTTATGAAACTCTACTTCAACCAGATTATTCCGAAATTTTATACATTACACTGTTTCCACCGCTCACCGACTGTGGTTGTTAAACTCACTGTTGACATGTGCCGAACAAACGTAAAATGAAACGTGTTTTTTACTCGGACTGTACAAATTTGTACAATACTATCTTGTATCCTCATATAGACGTAGAAACAGTAAAAACTGTTGTACTACCTGCTAATCTCCTTTCTGAATAGCTTGTGGATACAACATCTTCTCAGCACCAGCTTCCACCACCATCTTGCTGATTGGGGTCTTCCCCCGGGGAGCCGTGAACAAGAGCCGGGATAGACTCTCCATCACATCCGGGGCAAAGACACGGTAGTAGAGAAATGTTGTGTACCATGACGGCACCCGCACGTAGCGCTGGCGGCGTAGTGCACCATTCACGATAGCAGACGCACACCATGCAGTGGGCTCTACTGGGAATGGACCCACATGAGCCTGCCCAGCATCAGATAAAGGTGAGGTGAGGACAATTCTCAGGTTGTATCAGTTGTATGAACATAAGCAGAGACACCAATACACCATGAATGTAAGCAATACACCATGAATGTAAGCACACTCACATCTCTCTGTTCCTTGTCCCACACAACCCTTCCTTCGGCTGTCACGAACTTGCCAGCCGTCATTTCGCTCTCCACCCATCCCGGCGTGGCAACGGTGATGCCCACCTCGTCACCCACCTCCACACGCAGCGTATCAAAGAAGTTCACCAGCGCTGCTTTCGCTGCCTGCCACCACACAGACACTCTAGCTCACGTTGCATATCCTTCCAATCAAAACAGCGACACATAGCTGAGCAAAGATGCAGCATATGCAGGGAAAGCTGCGCATGAACTGGGCGGCACGTACATTGTAGATGGCCATGCGGGGGTATGGGATGAAGGACGCCACAGACGAGGTGACGACGATGTGGCCCTGGGAGCGCCGCAGATGAGGCAGCGCATAGAACGTCGGATAGATGGCGCCCCAGAAGTTCACATCCTGCACACATGCACACGCACGTGATCAGCAGCAAGGGTATGACTACGAACGGTTAGATGCAAAGCGGGTGCAGCGAGCACTCACCATGACTTCTGCGACGTCCGTGTTCTTGGCCTCCTCCATGAAGAAGCTGTGTGCGATGCCCGCGTTGTTCACCAGATGGTCCACTGCCACACGCAACACCCCCACACGTAACGCAACCACTCACCCGCACGCTCATGACCACCAACACCTCCACAGATGGGAGGTAGAGCAAAGCGGGATACGGTACTCACGGCGTCCGAACGCGGCGATGGTGTCGTTGATGAGCTTCTCGCACTCCGCCGCCACCGTCACGTCCACCAGAGCAACGCGCGCCTCCGCGCCCTCCATCTTGCACATTTCCGCAGTGCGCCGCAACTCCTCCTCCCGCCGTCCCGCCAACACCAATCGCGCGCCCTTCTGCGCATATACCCGTGCTGCCTCCTGCGGAAAGGAGAATTCATGGCGGGTGGTAAGAGCCCGCTCTGTAGCGCGATCATCCCTAGTCGTAAAGCTGCAGATGTCAACGACCGGGGAATAAACAAGTTCGGATTGACAACGGCGGTGCTATACGGAGTTGGCTGGAGCCAGACCTGACCGATGCCCGACGACGCGCCCGTGATGACAACGACCTTGCCTCGAACGTCCTCCGGGAAGAAGAGGCCAAAAGCCCACGTCGCAAAGCGCATTGCCGCTACCAAAGGCGCGATGAAGAGGAGGAACGCGATGCTCACGGGCAGCAGGGTAAAGTCTAGAAGCAGGTGAACGATTTCCATGGCGGCCGACGCACACACACGCTACAAACAACAACAATATTGAAAAGTGACAAGACCTCCGAGGAACTCATATTCAACCCCACTACACGTGCTGATATTATTTTACATCCAATGATGCTGATACGAATCGCGACACACCATATCCCCTCCTCGTTTCGCGACACGTGGACACGTAAAGGGTCAATGACAACAGAAAGCGGCGGCACGAGGGAAGCCCTACAGGCCAACACGTGCTTTGCTGCATGTCGAGCAAGATCAGTGAGAACAAAACGAGGTGAAGGGACAGGTATAGCAGCATGACGAAACTGGGAACTACTGAACTCCTTACATACGAATTCAATAGAGTCTTAAGGCTTTTCAGGAATTTACCCACTAGTAAACTGAATCTATTGTGTGTATTAATATTTATTGTCTGATTCTTCCAGATTGTCTTGTTCCATATGCAAGTGCTTTTGAACAACTGAAGAAGAACACTTCACAATGTATACAGTCAGACCCCGGATAATGCACCAGTCCCTCAGATTTTTTTTTTTTTTTTTTCTATTTAATTTATCAGACTTGGTACGCAATTTTAGTATTATCAATCAGACTTGGTACAAAAGTAACATGTAAGTGTCCGAGTTTAAGCGGGAAAAAATGCTGATACAATGCAGAGTTTGCACTAACAGTGGAGCTGAGTGGGTAGCCTACATGCAACACGGCGTCGCCGCCCATAAATAGAATACTACCACTATTTCAGCGTGCGGAAAAAAAAAATGCATTCCAACAGTAATCGTGGCTGTCAGTGCAGATTTCACATAGGCAAAAGCAGAGTAGTGTGAATCAAGAAAACAGGAATGGAATGACTAAGTGAAAGTTGGGTACAAAAGGCAAACCCTAGGAAACTGTACCCCATATGTGCTACTCCACTATAGCCTACAGTAGCTATGTCAAATAACTCTGACACACCCCCATAGGCAAAGTGGGGGAGAACAAGGGGTCACAAGACCAGTCAAGCAAAGCAAAGCAAGCTCAGGGTGGATCACAAAGTCACCACACATTCCGAGCACAAGTTCAAGGCCACAAGGCCAGTTCACATGCAGGATTACATATATATATAAGGTTAGACAAGCAAGAGCAGGTGTATATATATATATGCAACAGTACAAACAAGGTCAAGGGGTGAGCAAGTGAGGCAAGGTAGGCACAAGACCCAGCTGAGTACAGAAGCGCTGATGATCACAAGGCACAAGTGCCTTGGTGAAGATATCAGCAGTGTTGGCCTGAGAGGCCACGTACGCAAGCCGCAGCTGACCACGCTGCTGTAGCTCACGAGCAAGGAAGTAGCGGAGAGCAATGTGCTTCGTTCTGTGCTCCAGTCTCTGCTCTCGACACAAGGCCAGCATGACCTTGTTGTCTACGTAGAGCACTGGAGGAGAACGAGGCGGCTCTCCGAGGTCAGTCAGCAGGTAGGTAAGCCAGCGAAGCTCCTGTGCAGCCATGGCCCCGGCGTAGATCTCAGCCTCGCAACTGGAGCCGAGAACAGAAGACGAGCGAGTAGCCCGCCACGAAACAGAGCCGGAACCAAGGCTGAAGGTGTAACCCTGTGACGACCGCTGCGTAGCCTGGTCGTCAGCCCAAGAAGCGTCTGCGTGCCCAGTGAGGACCACTGGACTCTGCCCTCCAAGCACAAGCCCCATGCCCGACGTACTGCACAAGTAACGCAACACCCTCTTCGCTGCAGCCATGTGCTCCGGTCTGTGTCTCCCAGGAGCAACATAGCGTGCAAGAATGCTAAGAGAGTATGCAAGGTCAGGTCGTGTGCAGGTCATCAGGTACATGAGGCAGCCAACAAGCTCTGGGTACGGGCCACTCGACTCTACGGACTCATCCGAAGGCAGAGCTGAGAGCGAGTGGCGAGTAGGCAGAGGAGTGGCCTGAGGCGAGGAGTACGTGAAGCCGAAGCGCTGAAGGACCTGCTGCACCATGTGTGACTGAGTCAGGGTAATGGTGCGGCGTGCTCTGTCCCGGGTGATCTGCAAGCCAAGGTAGCTGCGCAGTTCACCCAGGTCTGTGCACGTGTGTCTCTTCTGCAGCTCGGACTTCACGTGGGCGAGTCCAGCAGTATCAGCTGTGGCAAAGACCAAGTCGTCGACGTACACGAGGATGTAGAACGGCGGCAGAGAGGTGTCGGTGCGTAGAAACAGCGACGGGTCGGCAGTAGAGGGAGCAAACCCAAGAGCCGCAAGTGTAGTCCTCAGTGTGTCGTGCCACTCACGCGGTGCCTGGCGGAGACCGTAGACTGGCCGCCGGAGGCTCCACTAGGTGCCAGGAGGAAAAGACCCAGTGAAGCCAGGTGGGCGACGCAGCCAGATCTCCTCGTGCAGGCTGCCCTGCAAGAAAGCAGTGCTGAAGTCAAGAGAGTGCAGCTCGTAGTCGCGGTGAGCAGCTATGTGCAGCAGTACCCGAAGAGTGGTCATCTTCGGGGTGGGAGAGAAGGTCTGAAAGTAGTCAACTCCCTGCCGCTGACTGAAGCCACGAGCCACGTAACGCGCCTTGAAGACAGGCGGAGAACCCGGCGGCCGCTTCACCCTGAAAATCCACATGCCACTGACGATGTTCGCCCCAGGCGGGGGAACCTCGTCAACGTAGGTGCCTGTGGACTTCCAGGAAGCCATCTCTGCGTCCATAGCTGCCTGCCAATGAGAGGAGTAGGGACCCTCTATCGCCTCCGCGTAAGAGCGCGGAGTCGGGATGTCAAGTGCATCCGGGTCTCCCTCAGGGGTAAGCAGCACGGACACGAGATGAGGTGAAGCAGCAGCCAAACACTGGAACTCCTCCTGCCTATCCTCAAGGACGTCCGTGCCAAGGGCACACTCACCCCCGACGGACGGAGGACAGACAGACTCAGACTCAGCAACAAGTCTAGCAGCGTAGTCTAGACGACAGCGAGCAGCAAAGTCGACGAGCTCAGTAACTAGGGCAGACGCAGCAGTGGACTCAAAGGAAGGGTCAGTGACAACAGTAGCAAGGAGACGCGTGACAGTAGGACTGGCAGCACGAAGAGAGTCCGACTCCGGGTCAGGAAGAGCAGGAAGAGAGGACTCAGGAGGAGAAGGCAAAGGGGCACGCAGAGGAGCAGTGGACGGACGCAGAGACATCCGGTGCATGCCAGGGACAGGAGGAGGACGCTGACGTGAACCACGACCACTAGTGCGAGAAGCACGGACAGGTGACGCAGGGCGAGACGCAGGCTCACGACGCTCAGCAAGACCTCCAGTAGGACCAGTGTAGGGAGAAGGAGCGGGCAGTGGGGAGGCCGGCTGTAACTGTAACTGTGACGGGACAGGCTGTGGACACTCTAAGGGAGGAGGAGGACCAGGAGAAGGCGGGAGACCAAGAACCTGCTGAAGGAGCGGAACGAAGTACGGCCTAGGCCGTGTGGCGACTCCAGACACAGCAGGGACAGCACCAGTACCCCCAGCGGCAGCACCAGCGCCAGCAGTACCTCCAGCTCCAGCACCCCCAGCAGGACCGCCTCCAGGACCGACAGCAGTAGCCTCAGCGCCAACACCCTCAGCAGCTCCAGCTCCAGTCGTACCCGCAGGCCCAGCAGCTCCAGTACTCCCAGTACGAGCACCTCCGGGACCCGCGGCACCAGCACCCTCAGCAGCCGAAGAACCTCCAGCTCCAGCAGCACGCCTCCAGCGCCGGGCAAACCACTCGCGCAGCTCCTGTGGAGAGAGTGCCTCCCGTCGAGACGAAGCACCCGGAGAACCTCCAGGCTCAGCACCGCCAGACGCCACACGAGCAGGCCCAGCTCCCTCAGGCTCCGCACCCCCAGGCTCAGCACCTCCAGGCGTAGCACCCCCAGGCGTAGCACTCCCAGGCTCAGCACCCCCAGGCTCAGCACCCCCAGTAGTAGCACCCTCAGGCTCAGCACCCCTAGGCGTAGCACCCACACGCTCAGCACCCCCAGAGTCAGCACCCCCAGGCTCAGCACCCTCAGCAGCACCAGAGTCACCAGTAACCTCGACAGGCTCGACTGCGTTTACCTGGGACACACCTGAAGGGGCAGGACCCTGAGGGGGGAGGGGGTCTACCGGGGGGGGACCTGGGACAAGGAAGAGCGGTGGCGGGGGGAGGGACGGAGTGCGGTAGGGGAAGAGGCGGTAGTAGGGGACCGACTCGTCAAACGTGACAACCTGGGAGGACAGAACACGGCGAGAGGTGGGGTGGTAGAACTGCCACCCTGGCGCGTCAGGGGGGAAGCCAAGGAAGACGCAAGGAGCAGCACGAGGGGACAGCTTGTCCGCAGACAAGTCGCGGACAAACGCCCGAGATCCCCAGACACGGAACGCAGACGCATCGCCAACCTTCCCCGTCCACAGCAAAGCTGGGGAGGTCTCCGGCATGGAGACCCTGGGGTGAAGGTTGATCTGATGTGCCGCGTACCGAACCGCAAACGGCCACAGAAAATGGGGGGCAGCCGCATGCATCATGGACGTACGGGCGACATCCATGATCATGCCAATGCGGCGCTCAGCAATCCCATTTTGCTGTGGAGAGTCCGGAAGCGTGAAGGTCTGGCGGATGCCTCGTGCACGACAGTAGGCTCGCAGAAGGCCAGAGGAGAACTCTCCACCTCTGTCAGAGTGCAGACGCTGAACAGGAAAGTCCGAGCCGAAGCTCTGCCTGAGCTGGAGACGAGCTGCGCGGATCCAGTCGATCAACACCTCAGTGACATCACCCTTGCTGCGCAAGGGGAAGACTGTGGTGTAACGCGAGTAGTCGTCAACCACCAGCAGGAAGTAGCGCTCGTGACCCTGTCCACGGACGCGGGCCGGGCCCCACACATCCATGTGAAGCGTCTGCAGCGGGGCCTCTGTCGGAGGAAACTGGGAGGAGTGAGGGGCAGCCCGCTGCCGCCCCTCGACACAGGGGACGCAGGTAGGGCCAGGCCCCGGAGGAAGGGGAGGGAGGGACCGGGGAAGACCAGAGACAAGGACACGGGAGGCCAT